GAATTAGAAAGAAGCAAAAAGTGGGTCCAAAAAGTGCAGTGGCCACTCTACCGTTGAATAACAAGAGAATGGCTAAGTAAATCTGAGGTACCCAGGCTCTTTGAAGGTGGACCCACTGAAGAGCTAAGTAGAAAGGTGGTTGAACAACACAGACAATGCTTATAATAAAATATGATGCACAAAAGGTACAATACAAAATTGTACCTATGCTGAGCTTAACAAACCCTATGAAAAAGTAGGTCTGCACATGATCAAGGACTGGAAGGGAACTGTGGGAAAAGCAAAACTTAATTTATTGTGGGTGGCAGGCTTGCTGGTGAATTTTTCTTTCCCTTAGATTTTCATTAAAGTTGTTATAATGTTGTTTGTGCAAAGACAAATAAAAACCATGATCATATAGAACAATTATGCTAGCAAATCATTCTGTCAAGCTGAGAGACCAAATCATATTTTCCTGAGCCAGCAAACATATTTGAGAGACAGCAGTGCAAAACTAAGGGCCTCCTCTTATGGAAAGAGGCAGCCACAGGGACTGGGGAAATGTGTGGGAAGGCCTGGGTTTGAATCCCAGCTCTGACCCTTACTTTGGGTCTTTGGGGTAAGTCAATTCACCCCTTGCATTCTCAGTTTCTTCACCTGCAGTGCAAGGATAATAATAATAACCACTACCTCACGGGGCTGTGGTGAGTAGCAAATGATGAACGATGTTCAAAAGGGCTCTGTGAGGCACAGAATGCTGCCTGGTGTAAAGCCTTACCATGATGTACATACAAATGTTTTGAAACCAAAGTATTAGGTACTGTCACCAGGCTAGGCCTGTGCTACTGGGTGGCTTCAGGCAGCAGCCGCCTTGTCTTCTCTGAGCACTGGGTTTTTCTGAAATTTGATGAAGCAAGTGAAACTTTCTGTTTTTAGCCATGGTTGGGGAATAATTGGAAAATGTCGTGGGTTTTTCTCCTCCTCTAAAATGCTTAAACTTCATGCAGAAAACACTAGAATAACTAATGAAGAATGTGGCAAAGCCTTCCACCACTGCTCCGGTTCTCAGCCAGATGCGGACCTAAGCTCTCGGAGCGTCCATTGCCTCCTTGGTCTGGTGGGCTTGATAGTGCCTGCCTCACAGGATGATATGAGGTGCTGGCACACGGCGAGCAAGGAGCACAGGGGTGTGCTGCCCCTATTACTGCTTAAAACTGTCAGAGTAGGAGGGATCTCTAGGGATTGCCCTGATCCAGGGCTTCTCAATGGATGCTGAGAGAGCAGTGGAGGGAGTCTTGGGGGAGCACCATGTATATATATATGTTATTATTATTTACTGTCAATGTTGAAAAGCCTTCTGTGGAAAAAGTAGACTTTTTGTCCATCATGATGGGACCTAGGTATTTTAATAAAGGTGAGATATGTGCTTGGAAACCACTTATCTCCCACAACTCTTTCATTTTATAGACCCACAGAAGTGAGGTGATGAGCCCAAGGTCACCAGCTACAGAGGTTAATGAGGGCCGCAGTCCAGCTGCTCCCCTACCCCACCTACCATCACCACTGCCCAAGAGTTGTTCTCATGTCCCCTGGAATTTCCTCATGGCCATGACGGATACACCCTGTACCACATGTCCACATCCATATGTCCACCAAGCAGGGAGAAACCAGACGAGGCTCTGACATTGACAAGAGGCAAAAATGATGCTTGAGATGACAAGGAAAGATGTCCCTGGTAGGGGACCCTCTACACTGACAGGTCAGCTCTATATGCCCCACTACCCCCAGACAGTACTTCTAAACAATCTAGCTAATGTGGCCTCCTAAGTGCTGTCTGGATCCCTGTGGAGTAAATCGTCTTTGACGAAACCTTCATTTCTTCCAACAGCAGATTTTTTTTATTTAAAAAGTCAATCTCCTGTCAAATTCTCCAAGGGTGCAGATGGAGGGGCGTGGGGTCCTGGGTGCAGAATGGGGCTCCCAATTGTTCCCATTCATGTGGAGTGTGTTCTCTGAGTCTGGTTTTTGGTATTAGGGAAAGTGACACAGAGCCACCTCTATGAATTCCTTTTGCAGAACTTGGATACCTGGTGGTCAGAGGGGTGGTGTTTAGGCCTGTTAGGCCTGCCTCAGAAAAGATGTGCCCCCACTCCCATGCTACACATACCATCTCCAGCACACTCCTCCTCTGAAATATTCTGACCCACTCAGCAGACTGGGACCTTGCTCCTCTTTAGGGACCTGACTCTGGGGGCCTGGCTTCTGGGGTATCTGACTTCTGTGGCTCATCTCCACACACTTCTGTCCTGGCTTGCATTGTCAAACACCAATGTTTCTACCCTCTTCCTTTCTGGACTCTTGGTCACTCCAACCCCTGCACCAGGACTGTCTTCCTGTACATTTGGTTCTGTCACCAGCTCTCTCCTAGTCTCTGGGTGTTTCAGGATCTGGCTTTGGGGATGGGAGCTGTCTGCTCTGGGTAAAGGGCAAAAGTGAAAAGGTCGAGATTTCTTTTGGTGGCCGTCCTGAGTGCTGATCCACATTGCTCAGTGTCACGCTTTTGGTTCTGAGGATGAAGACAACCTCCACCTTCACCATAATCAGGCCTCCAACCCACGAGACCCACGAAATCTGCATTATGGAAACTGACACACACCAACCATTTCCCTAAGTGGGGACAGTAGTTTACCCTGACTCCAGCCAAAAGAACTCAAAAACCTGAGTCAGGAGAACAAAAGACAAATATCAGCTGAGACTCTAATTTTTGGAGTCTTCCCACCCCTGATATTGTGGCTCTGGTCATGTGCAATGGCAGCTCCTGTCACAGCAACAAGCCTGCTCCAGCCCAGAGGGGCCCAAGTGAGAAGTGGCTGTTGAGGGGCCTGACAAACTCACGCCTATGCGAGGCAGGCCATGGATGACAGCCGATAGGAGACCAAATTGAGGGTAGGGCCAACAATGTTTTCAAAGGGATGCCCTCCTGAGCCTTAGGCAGAGGTTCAGGGAGCCCAGGAGGGAAACCAGAGGATACAGGCTAGCCCCAGCATATCCTCTATGGAGCCAGGCAGTGTTCAGAGCACTTTGCAGGTATTAACTCATTCGATCCACACAACCTATGGTACAGGTACTTTTATTATCTCCTAAAGGAGACATACAGATTAGAAGCTGTAAATTATATAACGAATCTGTAGATTAGAAACCGAGGCTCAGGGAAGTTAAGCTAACTTGCCCAGAGGCACAAAGGTGAGCCTGGGATTTGAGCCCAGCCAGCTGGGCTCCCACGTCTGTCTCCGTAATCACTATGCTAGTCTGCCAAAACAAGGGAGCTAAGACAGGCAGTCTTTGCCCTCCACCCACTAGTTGGGCTAAGACTGGACTTCAGTCTCTACCAAGAATTAGTGCTGTGGTGCTCATCTTGGGGATATTTAAAACACTCTCAGTGCCTGGGCCCACCCCTGAGAAACTCTGCCTTAACTGGTCTAAGATGCGGTCCAGCCTACAGCGAGTGCAGGGGCAGGGAGAACAGCAGTTTTGTGGCAGCTCCTCAACTGAAAAGTGCACAGCATCTCTCTCATCCTGACAAACACCCAGCTCCCAGCTGTAGCTCTGCCTCTCTCTCCAGCTATGGCTCTGTCTCCTTCCTCTCTAACCACAGCCAGACTCCCTGAGAGGTGTCTCCACTTGCCTCCCATTTCCCTCCTTAACAAGCTGCAGTCCGGCCTCTGGAAAGCCAGCCTTGCCAAGGTTACCTTCTCGGTGTCGCCACAGCAGACATTCAGTGCTTGGCCTCAGCCTACTTATATTCTTGAATGCAGTTGATAACACTGATTGGCCACTGCTCCTAGAAACTGACCCTCTCTCCCATCCTTGGGGACACCATACATTCTCCCTGCCTGTAAGTTTCACCTTGGTCTTTTTAGATGGCTTTTTGTACCAAGCCATACAAATATGTTCTGAAGGTGGGGCCTCTAGGGACCCTTGGGACTACCCTGCTCTTGGCGAGTTGAGAGTCTGGGCAGCACAAGAGGTGCTCAGTGTCTTTGAGGAAATGAGGTGGTTCCTCTGGGGTAGGTCCCCCAGCTCCTCCCCTCAAGCTGCTTCCCTGTTTCTCTGTATCTCTGCAAAGAGTGTGAAAGAGAACAGAGCTCCAGCTGGGCCTCGTTTCATGCTGTGAGCAAGAACCTGTGACACCTCTCTCTCCAATCGGAAGCCAGTTACTGGGACAAGGTATGGTCCATTAGCCTGTGCTTGTATGGCTGATATGGTGGTCATGGAGGCCCTCTGTAATGAGCTTCCAGCCCTTTGTAATTACCTTCTGTAATAGCTTCTGTTTCCCAGCTATGCTGGGGCTGGCCTGTGTCCTCTAGTATCCCTTCTGGGCTCCCTGGACCTCTGCCTAAGGCTCAGGAGGGCATCCCTTCAAAAGTGTCTTTCTAAACACACAGAACCAAATTTGAACAAGAAATGTTTTAAATGTTTTAGAGCAGCGATTTTCTCATGCTTTGTGCCCTGGGAACTAGGCTTTGCTAGAATCTGCAATACCCTGGCAGCTGAGAGTGCGAGAAGCAGTGAGGAAAGTCAGCATGGCTCTCCACCTGAAGCTGTGGAGAACACAGCTGGACTCAGAATCTTACTGGTCTCTAGCTGGTGGAACTTGGAAAGTCCCTTTCCCTCTCTGAGCCTCACTTTCCTCTCCTGTTACCAGGACTCATCATCTTTAGCAACTCTGTCTATGGTGGGGATGCCTGGGAACCATCTGTACATGCTGTAGACCTGTTCCTCTGTCAGAGTAGGCACCCTCTAGCAGTTAGGGGAGCTGCATTGAACTGCCTTCAGCCATAGTGCACAGACTCATTCCAGGCCAAGAGAGAAAGTGTGTGTGTCCAAGAGAGACTTACAAAAAACAAGGCCTATCTCTGTGCACGTCTCTCTGGGAAGGAAGGGGCCCGAGCAGTGACAATAGACTAGGGGAGCTGACTCAGACAGCCAGTTCCTGCTCATTTCCCCTTGCCACAGGACAGCAGCTGAGTGGGAGGTCAGCCCTCCATGGGGCTCTGACTCCAGCCTTTGGCTGAGAACCTCACCTAGAGAAAGACAAGACCAACTCACGGACAGCTGCCCTCACCAGTCCACCGTGACGGGACCAACTGGACCAGTGTGGCCGTGGGCAGGTGGTGGGGGCAGCAGGGTGTAGGGGAGTGAGAGAAAGAGAGATCGGAAACTCACTTTTGAACTCTACATCACTTTCCCTGGGCTGGGCAATCCAGGAACAACTTTACTGGCAATGGAGCATGTGACCAATGGGGCCAAACTGACCCGGCCAGGGTGCTGGGAAACGGGTTCAGGAAGAACCCCTGGGTACCATTGAGGAGCCTGGGGAAGGGGTTCAGGACAGGGTGGAGCTCCTTGTCTCGCTGCCCCTGTGTGGCCCCACCACTGGGAATTTGCTGACTGTGGAGCAGTGGTCATCCACACTGCTAGGATGGAGAGAGCCGAGTCTATCACCCTCTTCTGGAACCAGGGAGGTGAGTCTTTGGGGGAGGAGGGTGGCGTGCTCAGCAGAAGGGAGAAGGGGAGGAATGGAGGCTCACTGAAGAGGACGGGCTTCCTGCGATGGGCTTCCTGCACTCAGAGCTGTGCTGAGGTAGCCTGGGTCCTCCTGGGGGAAGCGCCTTCCCTTAGTATAAGGAGGGGCAGGATGGCCACTTGGCAGAGGCGTTGTAAAAGCAACTCAGAATTGCTTGGCTCTGGAGGAAGAGAGGGTGGATGTGATCACATCCCAACCCCTGATAATCTGGGATTCTAAAGGAATAATAACAGTGACCAAGGAATTTTATGTCTGTGTGTAAGAAATCCCATCTCTCTTATTTTCTATAAATCAACTTAACATGGTTTCTGAGGCCTTGTCCCTTGGATGGGGTAAATGCTCTCACAGTCAGTCTTGGGGCTTTACCTGCCTCCTGGACTCCTGCTAAGATTCTGGGTTTTTTTTCAATCCCAAGGCATGAGGACAGGAGGGCAGGGAGGGGCAGGAAAGGGGGTGGCTATCACTGGTCATCTGGTCACACAGGTTGCTACCAAGGGACCAAGTGCTTTCTAATTGCAGTTTGAGCCAGACCTTCTGGCAGGAGGGTGGAATCAAGTTCAGGGTGCTGAGCCATACCAGGATACCTCTCTAGCTTGTGTGAAAGGGGTGAGCTGGGGTGGGGGAGGTGATATTTGCAGTTGCCTACTGTGGAGAATGTACTGGAAGTCAGAGTTATGGCTGCAGAGGCATCTGGCAGGGCAGGTTGTGAGTCCACGCTGTGGCTCGGGGATTCTATTTGGTCCTTTGTGGCAGGAGTTTATGAGCTAAAGGAGTCTGAAAAGCAGAGTGATGGGATGGAGAACTAACTGCAGTGAGGCCTGTGTGCTGTTTGGCATGGAGAAGTAGGCGAGGAAAGTGGTCTCTGGTCTTCAGGTCCTTGAAGGGCTGTCACACCAGGAAGGGAGTAGACGGCGTCTGAGAGGGGCTCAGGTTGCAAAGCTGGGACCTGTGGACAAGGAGGAACTTTCTCACAGACATGCCTGGGATGCCTTGAAAAGGAGTGAGGGTTCTGTGTGTTTGGACAGGTTGCCTTTCTCACAGGCACAAGGTGAGCCCTTGAGAAGACAAGGGCAAGTGGGAGCTGGCCTTTCTATTCTGAGGAGGGAGAGAGGGAGGAGGTGCCAGCCTCAGCAGGGATGCAGGCCTGGCCCCACCCGCAGCTGGCTCCCTCCATCCCGCTCCACAGCCACCCCCAACCTGCACCCCCATCTCTCTCCCTCCTACTGGACTCCCTGCTTCCACTCTTGCTCCTCTGCAGCCCATTCTCCAGAGCGTGACTTCATAAAACAAACCCACCTTGTTCAAAAGCCTCCAGCCAGTGGCCTCCCACTGCCCACTGGTGAAAGTCCAGATTTATTTCTCTTCTTCATTGCCTCCTTTCTATTCCCTAAAAACAGAGCAGAGATAAGATCGTTTCTCTCTCTAACACAGCTATTACATTTCATAAATCTATGTCCTAGACAACTGGAAAGGGCTGTATTTAACCTTCCGCCTCCTAGCTTTTAATGGAGGGACTTGCCTCAGGCAGTGCTTTCTAACACCATGGGAGACCAGAACCTTTCCTTTGTTCTCACCCAGGCCAGAGCCCGCCTCTGCCTCCAGCTGGATGGTGCAGGTTGCTTGGTCAGCCAGCTGCCCCACAGCACTCACCCTCCCCTCTGTCTTCCGGTGAAGGAAGTCCCTGTTCCACCACTGGAAGGTGTCCCTCAGCTTTCTTATGGCAAATACTTGAAACACTCTTTAGGAACCCCATAGACAGCTAAGTAGGACAGCTGGGGAGCACAGGAATAGGAGGAAGGACAGGGCCCAGAGGCATGAGCTGGGCTAGGGGAGGAGCCACGAGAGAAGAAACTGTATTGTGGTGGGCAGGGGGCCTGTCTGGTTGTGGCTATAGGAGGGGCAGAGGAAGTAATGCTAAGTAGTGGGCCAGACCCTGTATGCGAAGCTTTCGGTATACAGTTGACCCTTGAATAAATGGGGGTTTCCAGAACACTCCCTGCAAGTGTTCACTTAAAATTCTACATATAACTCTTCACTCCCTCGAAACTTTACTGATAGCCTTCTGTTGAGCAGAAGCCTTACTGATAACATAAGCAGTCGATTAACACATTTTGTGTATTATGTATTAGACACTGTATTCTTACAGTAAAGTAAGCTAGAGAAAAGAAAATGCCTTTTCAAATTGTCACTAACTCCCAAAAAATTTTCCACCATATTTATTGAAAAACATCCACATGTAAGTGGACCCAGGCAGTTTCAAGTCGTGGTGTTCAAGGGCAGCTGTACGACGTCATGAGATCCTTACGACAATTCTAGGAGGCAGGTGCTATTATTCCCCTCATACTACAGTGAGGAGACCGGGGCTCAGAACAGTTCAGTGACTTCCCCAAAGTCATACACTGCGAGAAAGTACAGAACCAGGTTTGAGTCCATGCCTGTCAAACTCCAAAGACTGGCTGCTTTGCACAGTCCCAGGAAATTCCTGACTGAGTTGCCACCACAGTTTGAAGCAGTTCTGATGTGCTGAGCACCTTCATTTGCCTGAGTGTCTTTGGCAAACACTTGAGCCCCTCGTAGACATTTTGCACCACCCAGACCCCAGGCCCACCTCAGCATCTGTCCCCTGCTGTGGAGTCCCATCTAGCATGTGGGCTTTTTGATGGTGCCCCTGTGCTCTCAGACCTGATGGGCTGACCTCTCCCCGCCTCCACTTCCATATTCTGTTCCCTTCTGCCCTGCAGATAGCAGCTACTGGGGGCCAGGATCCTCAGACAACAAGCTAAACTCTTCTTTTTACTATGTGGGTCTGCTAGACTGCTAACCCCCTCTGTGGCCTTGGACAAATTGTGTCCTTTCTCTGATCCTACTTTCACCAGCTGTGAAATGGGAAGATAGGATACTCTGTCAGGGCCCTCCTGATTCTAAGAGTCTGAGCCCAGGGGCCCCTTGCCCCAGCCCCACCCTTGCTGCTTTCTCCCCAACAGTGTGGGGAGTGAGGGTCACCACAGGCACTGGTTTGGAAACCTTCACTGAGCCAACAAAGAAGCAGCTACATCGAAGTGACTGCCCCAGAGCCAATGGACAAAGCAATAGAGTGGTAATAACAACCACATGTGTAGGGCGCAGTCAGCGGGATGACAGCGTGGGGGACTTCAAGGTGATCTGAATGGTACCTAGTACGGCTTTAGAGAACATTGAATTACATGGTGAGAAAATGATTCTCGCCTCCTTTTCTTTCCAGCTTTCTGTCAAGGAGAAAGTCTCAGTGTGGTGCTATTCTTCAGCCTCTGTAATGCTTGCTAATTTCTTTTGGATCAGGGCTAGAGCAGGCCTCAGTAACTACATAGAATTTAATTACTCAGCTCTGTTTCCATTGTATTTCTTCTTACAGTTACTTCCTATTTATAGCAAGTGATACTCCTTTTGTTTGATTTCTTATTTGCCATATAAAATTTCCTTTAATATAAAATTATTTAAGCAAAAAAAAATACCTTCACTTCAAGAAAAAGATGAAGTGAATAGTAAATAGAACAAGTGGTGCCCAGATAGGGCAAAACTTGTCAAAGTGGTATCTAAATGGCTGAAGCTTGGACAACAATGGAATGTGGCATTCATTCACCACCAAGCTCCTCAGCATGGCCCAGAGGGCCCTGCGTGGTCTGCCCCTGCCAGTGACTCAGACTTCATTGTCCCTTACTCCCTTCCTTCCCATGCCCTATACTTTCTCATGCTTGCCAACTCTTGAGCATGCAGTACCCTCTGTCTGGAATGCCTGTCCCGCATCCCTTGTCTACCCATCAAACCCAAACTCATCCTTCAAGACTCAAGTCTAAATGGCACCTCCTCTAGGATGCTTACCTTCAGTCAAGTTCTAGGTTCATTTATTTCTGTATCATAATGTCTCTTCCATGGCTGTAATTATTTGCTTACAGGCTGATATTTTCCACCCTATTGGTTCCAATGCATTTAATAAAAAAACAGAGAGAGAGAAAGGCATAAAAATGTAATTGTTAGTGAGGGTTATGCATAGTGACTGGGCCCTGGGGACTGTCACAGCTCCTGGGATCACTTGGAATTGAGGCTCCCAGATGCTGAGCCAGAGCCTACACAGGCCACAAAGCTACCCTGCGAACTGTCCCTGCAGGGCTGGTGCAGGGCACATGTAGGAAGTTTATTGGGTGCCTTTGGGATCGACACCTGGGATCTGAGGGAAGGAGGCAGGATTGGTTCCAGGGAGAAGTTGGGCTGTGATACTGTCCTAATAACAACCCCAGGTGACCCTGTAAGGAGTTCCAGACCTGGGTTGGCCCTTCAGGGTTGCTCTGAGGTAGGGTAAGGGGATGGGGCATCATACCACTGCACATTGACCAGTCATTAGATGAAGGCTGCTCCCAGGGAGGGAGCATGGCCTTAGGCAAGGTGGACAATTCCCAAAGAAGACTCTCTGTCAGCAGCACTCAGTCCTGGGGACACCTGGGTGGGTGGGGCATCACTGTGTCCAGTACAGGGGCCCCCTCAGGCCCTCTGGGGCTTCAGTGCTTAGTTGGTATGGAGTAGGGAATAGTGATTCGGAGGACAGAGTGTGGCTGTCAAGAGTTGGTGGCTGGAAGAACCTAGTAAATGTGTGTTAGCATAATGAATGGTGAGGATGATTTTCAGGGCACTTTGCTTAGAAGCAAGGAGGATACAGAGGCCAACAAGCAGGGAACTTAGGGTGTGATTGGGTGACAAAAACATAATGAACAGCGGAGTGAGTGCTAGAATGTGTACCAGAGACCATGCTTCGACAGCACTTTGTTCTTGCTTCTCTTGGAGGCTTTATCATAGGAGGCTTCCAACACCTATCTAAGACACAAATTACTGTCCTCGCTCTACATATGTGAGACAGAGATCCAGGGGTTTGCTTTAGACCTCACTGCTGGCCAGATCCTCCACACC